ATTCCACCGCTAAGACTGTGTACGCTCTTCACTTGACTATCAGTCAATATATCCCCTAGCTACAACCCTGAGAAAGTGAGAATCCTGTGTGCTGAAAGAGAATTGCAAATAGATAGCGTTCATGATTCACTGGCCTCTGCCCTTTTTGTTAACAAGTCTTAACAGATTCTGTAGTATTTGCTAAGCCATCCTGTAGTGTTTTCCAGCTGGGGAAGATTTTTTAAAAAATACTTAAACCCATCCTAAAAGGTATTGTTTGGACACACTCTTAATCTGTACAATTTTTGTTTCAGTTTATCTGCTTTTCTTTGAGTTCTTTATAATCTCTGCTCCCCACAGAGTTCTTTGAGCAGTTCAAGGTGCTTATCTTAAACTGCCTGAGCATGCTGAGGAAATGGATGGGAGGGGAAAAAATTCAGATGGAACCTCCTTGGGAATTTTATTCCCCCCTTACAGATCTTGAGCTGAAAAGATAGTGAGATGTTTTGTGCCAATTCCCTGGGAGTCTTCCAGAGCTGGTTACTGCCTTTCCCAGTCTGTAGCAGCAACCACAAGTTTTTCACTCACAGCCAGCATTTTACGTATGCCATAGGGTGCTCTAGAGACTTCAGCAGTGTTGAATCTCTGCATTGGGTGGTGGTGTGTTGAGGTTTGTATCAGCTGGGTGCCGAGTAATGCCGAGTAAAGTAAAGACAATAAAATTGTCTTACCCTGACTTTGAGGAGGTTTAATTTTCTGTGCAGAGAAAGGAAGTGATAAATGTTATTCTGTGCTTTACTTTCTCCTCTCTCAGCTTTGTAGTGGTGCAGGTCTTTGTGGATACATGTGTACTGGTCATGCGCGGCATGGAGCCTTGCTCCTTTTCTGGTAGAAACACAGTTTATACAGCCAGGGAAGATTTTCCTCTGGGTAGAATTCGACGTTCTCCTCTGATTTTGCATTGAAACATAGCAGGTTCTGCTTGGATGCATATGGGAAAGCTGACTGTGAAGTCTGTGGCTACAGATTTATTACAGAGCAACTTCTGTAGCAGCAGAAGCATCTGGTCCCTGCAGACTGTCTGCTCCAAGTTGTGTGCTCCAAAACCATCAGTTAGTGAAGCACTGCAGTCAGCAACCTTAATATCCTGCCTTGCTTATAAACTACAGGTTTCACTGAGAAAGGTCTTGAAATCTCTAAGGTAATTTCCTCTTCAGAAATTTGTCTTGGTGTTTTTTGATATGCTGCTGAAAGAATACACAGGCTAGAACAAGTGTTCCAGCTGAACTTTGGTTCTACTAACATGAAGTGTTGGAGGCATTTCCCTAACAGTGAAACAGTAGATTGAGCATTACAGGAGATCCTCTCCCTTAAATTGAATTTCTCTTTTACGCCCACGTGTGTGCATTTGTACATCATATGGACTCGCATACAACCATGTTGCTATTAGTTTGTATCTTTTTAGTTGCATGCTGCCTTAAAAATGCTGAGATCTCAGAAAGAGCATTTCACAATAAGAATGTCAGAGTCTTGTATGATCAATAAGGGACTGTTTTCAGAAGAATATTTATCTGAATTTGAAGTGCTCATTTTCTGCTCTTAGGATCTTTGGACTATTTATTATTAGCTTCCAAATGCTTCTGTGTGATCCTATATCACATTATGTGTCTTCTTTGGAAGCAGGAAAATTACTACATACTGTAATCTGTGTCACCAACAACCCCTTTCTACAGTACAACTAATAGAGAAGCTGGTGGCATCTGTGAGACTCCTTCTGAATTCATGATGTTGGTATTTGTAAACACGAAAAGAAGTGCTGCAAAGTCAGGTTGGAGCTCACGAAGTCCTTTGCTTAGAGCATACAGTAAACATAGCTGAATACTGAGATTGGCTATCTTTGCTCTTTTTTTCCCCTTTGTATATCTACATTTATCAGTCAAAGCTCCTTTGCCAAATCTTTTAATATTAAACATTTCTTTTAGTTGTCATCTGTTTCATTCTCTGTTCTCAGTACTTGCAGCATAGCAGACAAGAAAAAGGAAATAAAGGATATTTGTTCCTGGCTAACTCTTGGATCATTACTCATTTACTGCTGTACCAGTTGATAAGCAATATCTCCATATATCTCCATACAATAATATGTCATTAGCAGAATCACTTTTTCATGACATCAGAAAATTCCTGAATTATGCTTTCTAAGACTGGCTTTTTCTGTGCAATGGATTTTTTCCTGTCTCTTCATATTACAGTGTGTGATGATAGATATGTTTGTTGTGTCTATAAAAAGAGTAATGCTCTGAGTGCTCACTTTTAACACTCTGTATTTGACTCTGTATTTGTGAGGAAACAATATGCTGCTTTGCATCCAAGTGGCTTTTATTCTTGAGGGACATAATTAATTTACACTCCAAAAAACAAAGGGTCCCAGAACATCTCCGAATCTTACAGTAACAACTTCTGCAATAGTTTAACCAATTTTTCCAGCAGTTTGGAAGCTTAAAAGATAAAATTTGGAAATCAGTCATGTATGAATATGCACATTTTTCTTAAGAGCAGTGTTTGAGAATTCATAGTTCATGGCCTTGTTAAGTCAAAAGCACTTACATTACTGAAAGTATTAAAGGGATATAAAAAAATTCTAACCACGATTTAGGCCCAAGAGTAGATAAAAATGTTAGAAGTCATCAATCACGATACAAAAGGAAGCAGAATTTTTCATTAAATTACTATTGAGGACAAGAAAGATGGCATGTTTCTATTTTATTTATAATAAAGACGAGCTTTCTGTTTGATCCAGAAGTAGGGCTGAGGTGAAACAATTACTCTCAAAAGTAATTTTTGTTTTTTACTGGAAAAACTAAGGTGTGCCCATATTTCTGATGGTATGTGGAATGACTCAGGTAAGTATAAGTTTGTAAAATTGACATTTGCCCCTGATAAAATTATGGAAATGTGATACGGGATATGGTCAACACTGACTCAGACAAGACATTATTACTAATGCAAATGATGGTTTATGGAGAATATGTCTTGTTGAATGTGTTTATTATTAATTTTAATGATAGAACAGACTTATGCAGGATATTTTAATGTGTTCTGTACAACATTTTATTACAGAAAAATAGCATTAAGCCAAATAGACTTATTCTGTGTTAAATGAAATAAAAACTAATTATCTGGTAGATCTGGGAACGTTGTTGTAAGTGAGAAAACCTTGTGCTGTGGGGAAGTTTCCAAAGAGATACTGTGCTTGATAGTGTCAGGCACAAGAAGCATCATCTCTCTTGTTTATTCAAGATGAGATCGAGAGATGACCTGGTCATATTCTATAAACACCTACATGTGGAAGAGGTTTCTGATGATTGCAGGTCTTTTATCTGAGCAACATGATGAGATCTGCTGGCTGAAAATTGTTAAAAAAGCAGTTCAGAAACAACACATGTTTTAAAAGAGGGAGTAGCTGTCCATTGGAACAACTACCCTATATAATTTGAAAACATTGAATCAAGGCCTTCTAGGCTGTAATTTTACCAGGTATTCTGGGACTGATATGAAAATTATGAGTGCAAGAGGTTAGTGCAGATGGTTGCAGTAGACCCTTCTAGCCTCAGACTGTCATAGTACAGAGGATAGAATAACTTCATTTTTTTGCACTCATTATATCTCTGACCGCAAAGGAACTTTGATCTATTGAAATAAGAAAGGGACTAAGTAGTGTTGTTACTAAACTAGAAATTGTTTACTATTTTCCCATTTGATGCTTTAGAACCTTTAGTAATACTTTACAATACTATGTTTTATACCTCTTCTGCATTAAACAGAAATGAAAATCGTGGCTTTACTTCAATATTAACATGACCATTTGCCTCAAAGCTTAGGCCGGGTTACCGGAGTCTCTCTGTTTGCTGATATTCAATGGCAGTCAGCACACTGACCCAATGACCCTGGCTCTCGTACTGTCTGCAGAGCAAGCTGCCAGATTAATTCCATACAATGAGAAATTAATCAGTACTATTGATCTGCAGTCTTCTTTATATGAGACTTCCAGAGTGCTCTTAATCTCATGCTCTTTTCTATTATTTATCCTAGGAAAACTTTAAAAGGTTTTATATGTTTCTCAGTGCATACATTCTCAGCTACCATGCATTTTAGGGTTATAAGGACCTTAGTGTGTTTAGGAGGATGTGCAAATATTAAATACACAGTTTACAAATGTAACAAGACCCACAGGTTTTCAGTTTCTTTCTTCAGGTGTATTTGTGCTACTATTTCAATAGGGAAAGCTATTTCAGGTAAGAAATTTATTGAAGGTCTTATTTAATTGATCCGCTATGAAGACATCTTCATGTTCACAGGACAGTTTTTCACTCACCTTTACTTTACATTTCATAAGGTTTCATAATACTTTCTTTTTGCTCTAACTCAGGCTCTTTGGATTTTCTAGTCTGTAAGCCCTCCAGGGCAGGTTACTTATTATATGTCTTCACGGCACTGAAACTAAACCCTAGGTGTGTTTGGATACGCGTCGGTAAGTGGTCATCTACATCAAGACTTTTGAAGACTAGGTTTTCTGGATGTGAGCAAAATGTGGTGTTTTCTATTGTGAATGGTCTGTCTTTGCATGTCTTCAAGCTCCTTCAGCTCTGAGCGTCCGTTCTGTGCTCCTGCAGGGACTCAGCGTAGCAGCGGGTGGATAGTCTGGGCACCAAGTCTGGAGGGATATCCACAAACAGGACATAGTAGTGCCACCTGCAATTCTGGAAAACAAGTGTGAAAACTGTTAGGAATCAGAACAGTGTAACATAATAGTCCCTTCTTCCACATCACCCTTTCAGCTGCAGTGAAAGCAGCAGATGGGTAGAAAAAGACTACCCCAATTCAAGATAAAACTCCCATCAGAAGCTTTATGAAATAACTGGGTAGATGGATCTTAAGATCCACCCATTCAGTTATTTCACAAAGCACGCGCTGGCCTGGTGTCATATTCCCAGCTGATTATTTTTCATCTTTCTTTTATTCAGGTTCTCTCAATTTGCCCAAAGGACATGAGAGCAGATATTTGCGTGCACCTAAACCGGAAAGTTTTTAACGAGCACCCTGCCTTCCGGCTGGCTAGTGACGGCTGCCTTCGAGCCCTGGCTGTGGAGTTTCAGACGATCCATTGCGCCCCGGGAGACCTCATCTATCATGCTGGGGAAAGCGTTGATGCTCTTTGCTTTGTGGTCTCGGGATCCCTAGAAGTCATCCAGGACGACGAGGTGGTGGCTATTTTAGGTACTGTGATCTCTGTTGAAATGCTAGTTTTTTAGATATATTTGCCTTCTGCTTAGCTTCAAATGTTAACTAGCCTTGCCTATCATCAGCTGGGACTACAGAAGGCTAGTGGTTGTCATAAGATGGAGATGTCATGCCTCCAGAGATACTACTCTAGAAGCAAACCCTTCATCTTTTATGCCATTGGGAAAGCTCTTTCTGCCCAGTATGGCTCACTGTTCACAGTTACAGTGTCTCTGAGCAGAAGAGAATGGCATCTGTGTACTTGACATCTTTTAAATAGCCTGGTAGAGGAAATGTACACTGTTTTATATCAGTCTCTCACGAGGATTTCCACATTAACCTTCACACTGGGATTTTCACTTGTCTGTATTCTATCCCAGAATAACACCGGCAAACAGTGTCTACAAGGAAGCAAAATTGTTGCTTGTAGTGAACTGTCTTTACAAAAAACAAATAGTCTGATATGACTATGCAAGGAGATAGGGATGCAGCAGCTATCCAGCCACAGTTGTGAGAAGTCTGAGTAATGGGGGAGCTCCAGGCTAATCACCCCGTTACCCTGCTGTGGTGTCTGGTTTGCCAGCGGTGGGTGGGAAAGAGCCTAATGCAGACTCCTCACTATCTTGTATGCGATTGGGAAAGGTGTAGCAGATGGTGGGACTGAGTGGTCAGCACTAGTGTTGAGGCAGGAATCATCCTCAGAGACAGAACACTGTAGAGGAAGAACTGGTGGCTCTGCATGAAAACCATCCAGAGTCTGTCTTGCCTGTTTTAAGATAGACTCATTTATTGTAGAACTCGTCTCCTGTTGAATATTAGTTATTTGCCTTCTTTTAAACTGGAGCTGTGGCTCCCTGAGGGCAAATCCGGTGGGTGGCCTTGTCCTAGGGGACCTCTCACACCCCACTGAAGCTCTGTACTGCATCTTCGCCTAAGGGTGGCTCCAGAGGGCTCCATAGGTCCCTCTTCTATCTCACGGGGATGATCGCGGGGAGATGAGGGTTGCACTTGGGAGTTGCCCCAGCACGTGGCAAGAGGGCAGACATGGGGAGTCAATACTGGTCGTGAATAAAGGCTTCAGCTCCTTCCCAGCTGGCAGCAAGTGAGCAGAGAGGAGAAATGAGGACAAGCATGTAGCTGAAGGAGGCTCCTGACGTGCTGCCGTACAAGCCTGTGTATGTGTGTCCTGCGCTGGGGTGGGATTGGGCAGTGTGCAGGTGTGTGGGTGGGAGCGTATGGGGCTGGCTCCCAGAGGGCATAACCCAGGTCCTCCCAGCCAGAGAGTGTGAACTCAGGAAAATGCACATGCGTGCTGTTTCACACTACCTGCTGCGGCTTTCTGTATTCTAGTATATACTAAGGTTTTTAAAGATAGAGATTTAATGTAAGAATGAATCTGTTTCCATATTCAGATGTGAAGTCATTGTGGTGAAAATTCCTAAGTCTGCGATTTCCATAGTAAAATATTCCTTGTATTTCAGCTCACTGCACAACTTCATTTTTATTATTAATCTCAGTGACGATATCTTATATTTGCTTACAGCTATTTAAAAACCAAAAGCTTTAAGAGTAAATAGCAGCATTTAAACAATTAATTGGTTTTCTGGGTATTACAGTGAAAACAAACAATAAATATGTAATTTACTGAACTAGAAGCCATCACTAAATGGATTACATGCAAAACTTTATTGCATTTACTAATGAATATTGTGTGTTTGGAATGACGGTAAGAACTTTTTGTTTCTACCTTGTAGATATGGCAAATCTAGTATCTATGTTATTCTCCATTTGGCTGGAGAGACCTTTAACCATATCTAGTTAAAGTGAATTACCTTTAATTACCAAAAGTGCCTTCGATTCTGCCATGGCTGCTGACAGGCAATCCCATGACTCAGAGCTATGTTCATTGTGTACTACAGGGCTTGGCAGAATGTGTAAATGTAACTTAAAGGAAGATGAACTGCTTCCTGTAGTCATAGAGCACACTGAAGAGTTTTTTCATGCTCTGACAGATTATTTAACAGAATAGTGAACTGAGTAATTATGAGATGTCGAATCCTAAAAATTCACTTGTGGAAGGAAAATCTCTCCCAGATGTAGTTGCAAAGACATTTATAGTGGCAGCTGTGGCACCTGAAATAGCGACTGCGGATCAGACGGTGAAGAACATAATTTTTATCGACCTGTTCTCCCTTGAGAAGTTCAAGCACAAGGAAAGTGAATCTGCCTAAGGGGGAGACCAGGTTTAAAAACCTCTGCCTAACATGAAAACCTCTGTAGCCTGCATTGAATACTCCAAGCAGCTGCTGTCACACTGGGTTTCCTAGGGAAAGTCAACTTACAGGGTTGTACTACCAGTCTGTCCCATCTTCTCCATCCCCCAGCAGTAACCTAGAGTGGAAATGCAATCCTTTGGAAACTTGTCCTCATTAATTTCCTCTGTGGGAGCAGGAGCGTGGCAGGACATGCTGTCTGCCAGCCTCTGCTCCTTGTAGAGCCATCCATTTCCTAAGTTTGCTTTGGAACTGGTACTTTGCAGTTACTGTTTTAATAATGTAGTGTCATTTAATATGGTAGTGTTATTTGCTTTGCTTAAAGAGAGAGAGAAGGTGTGTCCTTTTTTTTTCTTTTCACCATGCTCACCTGCAAGTTTTGGTGTATTCTTAAAAGTGGAATATCCTAGAAAAGTGAATCAGGTAGGGACACCAAAAAGGGTTAAGCACATGCATCTTCCATCTCTTACATTTGTACCTCTGTCCAAAGTGCAGGGCTTCATCCTCCCTCGGGTCCCAGCATGAATCACTCCGCGATGTTACTGCTTTTCCCCTCTCTCCGTCTTCCCTTATCATGTTCCCTTCCCTCGCAGCCATGGTGAGTTGGCACATCCAGCTTCCCTGCCTGCCGAAACGGTGTCCTCAGGAGACTTGGCATCCTGTCCAGGTGCTTTCTGCAGGCTCCACTGTGGAGACAACCATCCTTTTGTTCAACAGCATTTTTCATGGCTCAACGGCCCCAGCTTTGGCGTTTCTTGTGCTCAAAAGCAGATGAAACCCAGTGGTTGACAGGGCAACTTTCAGCACTGCGACATTTTGTTCTCCCCTGGTTTGGTTTTGTTCTCATTTGTGCGTAATTAAATGCCCAGCTGCTGCAGTAATCAGCATTACAGAAATCGGTACAGTAAGAGAATGAATCCAGTTGTAGATCCGCAGTTTATAGGACTCATTAATGAAGATACCCAGGTGCCCCATTACATTCCCCTCATTAGTTATCTCCATTTCTCGAGGACGGTCTCCCACCTTCTGCACGTACTGAGTGTTGCTGTAGCAGAGAGCACACCCCATGCAGAGCTGGTGTGATGGGGTGCTGCTTTGCTGGAGAAAACAAGATCCACTCATTTTAACATAACTCATCTGCAGTTGCCAGGGTAATGGAGAAGGGCAAACAGTCTTGTCTCTGATTATCAAAACTTTCCTAGCAAGCGAGGCGACCCTGAGAAGGCACATCAGTAATCTTCCACCGTCTCAAGCAGGAGTAAACAATTTCACTGCCACTGCTCTGGGGAGGTGTTACCAGCGGAGAAGTCTCAGGAAGGGCCGGGGGTTTGAAGTCCCCCAGGCTAATGAAACAAGGCATCTGCTAGCAGAGGGCACCTAACAATTCACCCTGCTGCAATTAACCTGAATTTGCTCCTGGCTAGGAGTTTCGTCTAAGTGGCGATGCCAACCAAGTGTCTCTGGAAGCTGCTTTCCAGCTCCTGCTATTTCCACAGCTGACTGCGTAAGTTGTACAGTAACTTAAACCAGGCAGATTGATGAACAAGGTTTAAAGAAGTCATTTTGCCAGCAGAGAAATAATGACCCACCACGTTCAAATGTTGATTGTAGGAATTGATCAAAAATATTGCTCAAACTGCATAGTGATAAAAGTATATTAAGCAGTGAAATCCTAGTGGAGGCTGCTGCTGAATGAATTCAATTTTGATAGTCAAGCCAGGATGAATATAGATTTAATAGCTCATGTTTCAGCCACACTTAGGGTCCTGATCCCGTATGTATTCAATTAGGTTGTTATTTGCCTTTATGTGTTGCATGTTAATTCTCAGCATGTTGTGCGTATAGTCCCAGTGCAACCTGTTGTTTATTGGATTTATTGTTTTTAGGCAAGCCAGAGTTTTACTTTTAGGCATTAGTAATTTGGTATTTGGGATCCATGCATCAACACTTTGAATTTCCTTGGTGTTATACAGCTGGGCATGTGCTTTGTGCAGGACACGACTGACTATGTGTGATGCACCATATGACATGAAAAACTGTCAGACCAATTCTATCTCACAGTATTAGTAGCTAATTCTGTGATTTTAATTAGTGTAGTTGCAGCTTGGGTTTCTTCTCAAGTGGAATGAAGGTGGCAGAATTTGCCCCTATGTCAAATCAGCTCTTGATATTTTATACTGAACTTTTTCTTGTTTTTCATGTGAAGTAAACCAAGGCAGACTAATTGTGAGAGTTTCCCCAGGTTAGCAACGTGCACCTGGTAGCAATTTATGGAACAGCCTGTGTCCTATTTCATCTACAGAAAAAGTCCCTTTTGTTCCAATGAGTTAAAGCTCTAAATTAACTAAGAGGAAAATGATTCATAAAGGAAAGGCTTGGTTTTTTTCAGCTAGCAGGACTGCAATAATTAATGTGATGCAGGTTGTTTTTTAAGCACTGAATCTCAAAGTATTTTGCAAAATACTTGAAGGATTACTGATCTGAGAACCAGTGTGACGTGCTGCTCTGCACTGTGCTGTTCTTGGAATGAATCATATCTTGCAGGTCTGGGTTAGCATACATAGTACCATGTAAGATTTAGTCCTACTAATGCTTGTTCAAAAGTATTATTAGTTCTTACTGACAGAGTTGAAGGGAACATTCAATTTTTCACATTATTTCGTAAATTTAAAATATTTTTGTTTCTATCTGCATGATAGTTAACTCTTAGAAGAAGCATCAATC